TCTTTTACATTTATTTTTTGAATATGTTCTTTGCCTATAAAGGTTATATTGACTTGGATAATTTTGCAGCAGACTTCTGCCCCCGTTTCCTGTAGCCCGCATCCCCTCCCTCTTTCACAGCAGTAGGTGACTCGCTTGTATAGATTACCGATATGTAGTGTAAAAAGTATGCTTAGAAAGTTCGGAACTTTGAAGGAGCAGCTTCTGTGTTGGACACAGGCCAAGTACGTTCCCCGCTGTTCTTTATTGACTGCAATGATGCAGTGCATTCCTGGTTCACTCTTGGAACTGTGAAAACACCAGTATGAATTATCAGCATCTGCCAACTAGAAAACATGTGTGAGAACACTGCGACAGCCTTGTCTACATGCGTCCGACTGAGGCCGAATCACTTTACAAGACGGGGTCAAATTCCCATCTCCTGAGCTGCCCCAGCATGTCAAGTCTTTATAGGTCCTGTCGTATATATACTGTATATACACTATATTGCCAAAAGTATTGGGACGCCTGCCTTTACACACACATGACCTTTAATGGCATCTCAGTCTTAGTCCGTAGGGTTCAATATTGAATTGGCCCACCCTTTGCAGCCTTTAACAGCTTCAACTCTTCTGGGAAGGCCGTCCACAAGGTTTAGGAGGGTGTCTACGGAAATGCTTGACCAATCTTCCAGAAGCGCATTTGTGAGGTCAGGCACTGATGTAGAACGAGAAGACCTGGCTCACAGTCTCCACTCTAATTCATCCCAAAGGTGTTCTATCGGGACAGGCAAGTCAAGTTCCTCCCCCCAAACTCACTCATCCATGTCTTTATGGACAATGCTTTGTGCAACTCATGTGTAACGGGAAGGGGTCTTCCCCAAACTGTTCCCACAAAGTTTGGAGCATGAAATTGTCCAAAATGTCTGGGTATGCTGACGCCTTAAGAGTTCCCTTCACTGGAACTAGGGGGCCAAGCTCAACCCCTGAAAGACAACCCCACACCATAATCCCCCCTCCACCAAACGTTACACTTGGCACAACGGAATCAGGCAAGTACCATTCTCCTGGCAACCGCCAAACTCAGACACGTCCATCGGATTGCCAGAGAAGTGTGATTCGTCACTCCAGAGAACATGTCTATACTGCTCTGGAGTCCAGTGGCGGCGTGCAACCGAAGCTTTGCATTGCACTTGTTGATGTAAGGTTTGGATGCAGCTGCTCTTTCCATGGAAACCCATTCCATGAAGCTCTCTACACACTGTTGTTGTGCTAATCTGAAGGCCACATGAAGTTTGGAGGTCTTTAGCTATTAACTCTGCAGACAGTTGGTGACTTCTGTGCACTGTGCGCTTCAGCATGCGCTGACCCCACTGTCATTTTACGTGGCCTACCACTTGGTGGCTGAGTTGCTGTTTTTCCCAGTTGTTTCCACTTTGTTATAATACCACTAACAGTTCTACAAATGTTTGTAGAAGCAGTCTGCATGCCTAGGTGATGATTTTATACACCTGCGGTCATTGAGGTGATTGGAACACCTGAATCACATGATTTGGAGGGCTGGCCCAATACTTTTGGCAATATAGTGTGTTTGTGTGTATATATATATATATATATATATATATATATATATATATTTAAAGCAAAAATTTTTTTTTATTTGGGAGAGAGTATGGGGTAATGGAATGAGCTATCAGGTTTTTAAGCACCACTTGGGAAATTCCCTCTTACTTCCTGTCTTAGAGATGTAATAGAAAATGACAGAAAATCTCTCTAAGGGGAACAAAATTCCTATATTAGAGAAGTGTGTTATATGAGCCGTTCTACCAATTGGAGAAATTTCCCTTACTTCTTGTTCTGATGACAACTCTGGAAATTCTGGATTTACCATTACATTCTGTCTCGGTGACAATGGTTACCAGGAGAAATAGATGGCTGAATCTCCCAAGTGTTGACACATAGAGCAAAAAAAAAAACCTTGAAAAAGTTAAAGATAAAAACTAAAACAAATTAGCAATTGCTTTTATATGCGTGCTAATACAACATATTTTACATGTTCCAGGGGATTGCACAAATCTAAATGCGCTCTGTACTGTAGTTTATTTATGTGATTTAGGCCTTGTTCACACAGCTGATTACTTGTGTGTCCCATGCAGGGCTGCATTTTGCTGGTGTTATGTGCATCCCTGTGCCAGCAGTCCCATTGGTATGTATTGGGACACGCACCTCATGGGCACAGCCACTATGTTCCAATGTGACATTCATGTGGGTGCAAATGCATGGCCCCAAATCAGGGGCGGACTGACAACTCATGGGGCCCCCGGGCAATAAGGGATCATGGGGCCTCTGTATCCTTGCCCAAACTCAAAAAAGCCTATGAAAAAGGTATCAGGGGCATCTCATGGGGCCCCCTACTGACCCCGGGCCCTAGGGCAGTGCCTGAGTTTCCAAATGGTCAGTCCGCCCCTGCTCCAAATGCATCCAGAGTCAGTTTGGGGACACGCACCCATACCCACACCCACACAGAGGTCTTATTGAAACACTGCATGTGTCCCTCTTGACATCCATGGGACTGCTGACACAGGGATGCATGCAACATACACAATACATTAATATTTTAGTATTTTTTTTCAGTATTTTTGTGTATTTATTTGTTGCTTGTGTACTGTCACTTTTAATCATTCCTTATGTTTTTCATTTTTTTTACAGTATTTCTGTGGGAAAAAAGTTAAATAATAAGGCTAATGAGCATTATTTTTGGCACAATAACAGATTAAGGATAGTAGAAAATATTTTCCATAACCCTTGGAAACACCTATAGCCTGCTGCACCCTTAAAAACCATTAGAAATCACCTTAATTTCAACTTTCCCATTGACTCCAAAGCATTTTTCTGAACTGACAATATTTAGCTGAAATGTTCACATTTTTATTGCCACTTTGGGGAAAAACCCTCAGTTTGGCTCATTCCCTAAAATCATTATCATAGATAGTGACATTCTTTGCCTTACTGGTTTTATTGCACTTCAAACTGATTTATTACCTCTCCTCCTAATTCCTGACATCATGTTGTGCAGATGGACTGATGGATTCACTAGAAGCACCCACGTGTTACCATTATAGCAGATTACCAGGAGAGGCAGGGGAGGGGTTAAAGCCTTTTGAGTTAGAATGGGGAAGGGATGGAACGGTGGTGGTCAACTTACTTAAAATAGGGAGCCTCAAGTGTGGCCCGACATTACAAAATGTTATACATAATAATAATATTAATAATAATATTAATAATAATAAGTGAATGTAACGCTTTGAAAATCTGTGAAAGACTACAGGTATGGTGCAGGAGATGTTCACTGTTCTGTCCTTGCTACACATTTCCCTGGGTGTAACTCGACATGCAGCTAAATCCTCCTATTCTGCAATAAGCCAGACTGAAGGTAATATTGAAGCTTTATTAACAAAACAGAGTGGGGTGAAACTATGGGAAATACAGATGAGAAATACATACAATCAATGTATAAAACATATAAAAAAAACACGGTGAAATAACTAGGCTGCAGATCACAATAAGTCCATGCTCACCAGTGATGCTGCTTGTAGAGGATATAAGTTTAGTCCACAACATGAGCTGCAAAGATAATAGCTGATTTCCTCTCACTCAGTTTTTAAGTCCTCCTCCCTGCCACATTTGACAAATAATGTTTTTTTTTGGGGGGGAGTGGGTACCTAGTTTTGATATCTACCCGCTCCCACTTCTGCTTGGATCGCCTAGTTCTCCTCTCCCCCTCCCTCCCCAGAGTCTTCTGGGACATGTGACAGGTCCCAGAAGACTGGGAGTGTGACGGGAGTGACTTTGGGTGAGGGGGCCCATGGAACACAGCCCCCATTGGAGAGGTGGGGAGACTCCTGTCTCAGCTCCCCATATTCTTATTATGTGTAAGTCACCCTGTTAGGGGTACAGGGTGAGCTGTCCTGATATTGTGTAGACATGTATAGGTGGGGTGTGGGGGTTGTTCATTGTTTACTGCCACGTGGTCCCATTGTTCTATTGTGTGTCCTGCTTGGGAACAAACTATTATGGGATGTATGGGTTTGTGTATTGTCTACTGCCATGTGGTGTATCCCATTGTTCTCTTGTGTGTCTTGCTTGGGAGCAAAGGATTATGGGATATGTGTGTTTGTACTGGCTTGGTGGGGGGGTGTTTCCTGCAGCCCTTCCCCCTGATGGGATGGCCTGCTGATGTGTTTCCTGTTACTGGGTGTATTTCTCCGCCCTGTGTATATATTTTGTATCTATGTTAAAATAAAGCAGTCCATTTCCTGTATTAAGAGGAGTCTGGTGCAGTTTCGTCTTGTATGGCCAGCAGTGGTGTCCGTGGATCTGTGTTCGGACAGGGAAGCGGGAGTCTAACGGAAATACCCTAGCTCAGTGAGACCATTCACAAACTGCAGTAAAGCCCACACTGAAGCAGTGGGCAGCCAGCTGTGAAGCTAAAAGCTGCATAGCTGGCTGCCCAAAGTTAGGAGGCTGGAACCAAGAACTCGAAGGCTAGTGAAGAGCTTGCCTGGGTGAGAACGGTGCTGGATCCCTTGACAGGTACTGTAAGTGTCCTTTTATTAAAAACCAGCAGCTACAGGATTTGTGGCTGTTGACTTTTAATTTTTTGTTTTTACAGCGTGAAGCTGCTCTTTCAGATGGAGTCTGAGCTCCCAGGATGCACCTGTTTTCTTTTATCAGAATGAAGGATGATGGGAGTTCTTAAAGGTAAACAGTATGTGATTTCTGCAAAACAATAAAGTTATTCCAGGCTCCATTTAGTGGCCAAATTCAATAATGTAGGGAGAGCAACTTAAGGAATTTCCGTGCTGAAGGCAGAAAAGTCTGCAGGCACCCTACAGGAAATGGTCAGAAACTACAAACATGCTACAGGAGATGGTCAGAGACTGCAGACATGTTAAAGGAAATGGGCAAAGACTACAGACATGCTGCAAAAGAAGGTTAGAGACTGCAGGCCTGCTACAGCAGATGGTCAGAGACTGCAGGCCTGCTACAGGAGATGGTCAGAGACTGCAGACATGGTAAAGGAGATGGTCAAAGACTACAGAAATGCAACAGAAGTAGGTCAGAGACTGCAGGCCTGCTACAGGAGATGGTCAGAGACTGCAGACATGGTAAAGGAGATGGTCAGAGAATACAGACATGCTACAGATGATGGTCAGGGACTGCATGCCTTCTACAGAAGAGAGTCAGAGACTGCAGGAATGCTACCGGAGATGACCAGAGACTGCAGACATGGTAAAGGAAATGGTCAGAGACTACAGACATGGTAAAGGAGATGGTCAGATACTATAGACATGCTACAAATGATGGTCAGGAACTGCAGGCATGCTACTGGAGATGACCAGAGACTGCAGACATGGTAAAGGAAATGGTCAGAGACTACAGACATGGTAGAGGAGATGGACAGATACTATAGACATGCTACAAATGATGGTCAGGAACTGCATGCATGCTACAGGAGATGGTCAGAGACTGAAGACTTGCTACAGGGGATAGTTAGAGACTACAGACATGCTACAGGAGACAGTCTAAGACCAGATGCAAGCTACATGCGACTGCTAGAAATCACTGCAATTAAAGGCCCTTTAAAAATCAATGATATTGCAAAATAAATGATCCAAATGATTTAACTACTAGAAGTCAGTAAAAAGAATGTTATCCTCTCAATGGTATGAGTAAGAATCAAAACACAGACTATTGTTTGCAGGGGCCCATTATGTGCTCTAGGGCCACGGACTGGGAACCAGGACGTTAAAGCCTCTTTCAGGTTTTTATTGCCACCTGTGTCCCAATTGAGGACATATTCTCTGATGCAGGAAGTGATGCCTTCAAACACAACGCCAAAACCCTTTAAATCAAGAAACTTCCTCTGCTCCAGGTTCACAAAGACAGGAGGACAAAAGTTCAGTTCCACCAACACCCAAAGAGGACATCCTTGCATAGCAACAAGTAAACCAGTAACAGTTGCCTGTGGCAGAGAAACAAAGAAATAAAGTATATTTTACACCAGAAGGCCTCCTCTCCTCCAGGCTCACAGGGACAGAAGTTCCGTTCTGCCAACGCCTAGAGAGGACATCCTTGCATGGCAGCAAGTACCCTTTAAATCAAGAGACTTCCTCTGCTCCAGGCTCACAAGAACACAAGTTTAGTCTGACCAAAATCCATAGAGGACATCCTTGTATAGCATCAAGATCTGTCTGTCAAAGTAGTAGTAAACCCAATTTTTTTTACTTTTTACCTATAGGTAAGTTTATAATAAATCTTCCCTGTAGGTAAAATGAATATCTCCTAAACGTGAACCATTTAGGAGATATTCTAGTGAGTGGCAGCCAGTGACATCAATGATGCATACCCATGCCATTCCTTCAGAACTGTGTGTTGTGGCCATCATCGCGGCCACAGCCCAGGAACCCCGAACGAAGGCCTGGTGAAAATGGAAGCCTCTGCAGTGGTGACAGCGCATCGCTGGTGGGCTTCATTCTCAGGTACGTTTTGACACATTATGACATTGCCTTTTAGGGGAAAATCTTTCTTTTTTTTTTTTTTTTTTAGATTTACTGCCACATTAAATACCAGCTGAGACTGCTGTGACGATGTTACGTTCAGGCTGTTTCCCAGGGTGTTTGACACATCTGAAGCCCTGTAAGAACACTTAATTTAGAGGTCTTAGCATCTGGTGAGCGATTGGTGTGTTCATAGGTGGTGGAGCACTGAAGAGGTCACATTTATGGTACTACTACACAAGTCAAGTGTGTGACACATGTTTTTATATTTATATCATGGATTTACACAGACATTGAGTTGTTACTGTGTGGATTTGTCATTTATACACAATCACTTTCACTTGTGGAATATATTTTATTTATTACAGGTACTTATATAGCGTCGTCAATTTATGCAGTACTTTAGATATATATTGTACATTCACATCAGTCCCTAACCCTCAAGGGGTGTACAATCTAAGGTATACTGTCATGTATTCCCTTAACTAATGCTGTTGTTTTTTTTAATTAATATTCTCATTTTGTATTTTGGGTTATGTATTATGCATTAGCACAAGGGATTTAGAGGGGACAGCACAACACTTTTAGCTATTGTTTAAATATATCATTAGAAGCATTTTGTATTTGTATAGCACCCTCCTAGATAGGTTGCTAAGTTACATAGTTACATAGTTAGTCTGGCTGAAAAAAGACAAAAGTCCATCCCGTTCAACCATAGAAAAAAAAAAAAGTTATAATCCTACACCCACAGTTGATCCAGAGGAAGGCAAAAAAAAAATCCAGCAAAGCATGATCCAATTTACTCCTGCAGGGGAAAACATTCCTACCTGATCCTGTTGAAAAACACATTTTTATTACCATTTTCAAATAGCTTTTTCCGTATTTAAACTTTTTTATAAACTTATTTTGTTTGGTATTTTTTCAGTGTTGCACAAAAAAAGTGCATAGTCAAAAAAATGCATGTTTTTTCATTTGCAAATAACTTTTGTATGCTTTGTACCTCATTTTAGTTTCATTTTCAATGGGATAAACTATAAATAATGATTTAAAATTATAAATAATTTTTGCAAGACAATATTAACCACTTGCCCTCCTGAGGATTTACCCCCCTTAATGACCAGGCCTCTTTTTGCTACTCGGCGCTGCACTAATTCAACTGGTAATTGCGCGGTCATGCAATGCTGCACACAAACAAAATTTACGTCCTTTTTTTCACACAAATAGAGCTTTCTTTCGGTGGTATTTGATCACCTGTGCGCTTTTTATTTTTCATGCCATAAAGAAAAAAATACCAAAAATTGTGAAGAAAAAATTATATTTTTTACTTTCAGCTATAAAATATATATAGTAAACTCAAAGTTGGTTATAAATTTAGGCCAAAATGTATTCTGCTCCATGTTTTTGGTAAAAAAATCCTAATAAGTGTATATTGATTGCTTTGTGTGAAAGTTATAGCGTCTACAAACTATGGTATAAATACTGCAATTTACGCCATTTGTTTGCTATACAGCGCTGCGCTAGTTTAACGGACAATTGTGCGGTCATGCAATATGGTACATAAATGAAATTTATGTCCTTTTTTTCACACAAATAGATCTTTCTTTCGGTGGTATTTGATCGCCTGTGCGGTTTTTATTTTTTGCGCTATAAAAAAAAAAATGCTGACAATTTTGAGGAAAAAAAAAAAAAACAATATTTTGGACTTTTTGTTATAAAACATGTACAGTAAAAAAAAATTTAAAAATTTAGTCATAAATTTTGGCCAAAATGCATTCTGCGACATGTCTTTGCTAAAAAAAAAAAACCCAATACGTGTAAATTAATTGGTTTACATGAAAGTTATAGCGTTTACAAATGGTGGGAAAGATACTCAGATTTTTTATTTTTTTTTATACTAATAATGGCGGCGATCAGCGACTTATGGCGGGACTGCGGCGGACATTCTGACACTGGGGGGGGAACTGACTTGGGGTCACTGACATCCCCAGTGACACCAATACAGTGATCAGTGCAAAAAAAAAAACACTGACACTGTACTAATGGCACTGGGGAGGAATGGTTAACTTTTTTATTCACTGAAAGGGTTAACTGTGTGAGGGGAGTGTTTTACTAGGGGGGGGGGGGTGTACTGCACGGGAACACAGATAAACTCTTCTCTCTCAATCAGCGTGTCAGGAGCTGTCAGGGAACTGACAGAAAGCAGAGCTACTGCAGCCCTGCTCTGTCAGTGATTGCTGCTAATCTGCGGGACACAGCCGGTAATGACAGGCCGTGAACCGGCAACTGACACCCGAGGCCGGGATCGGCAGTGCAGGTAGGGAGGCGGCACACCTCATGCGCGCCCCCTACCTGTTTTGCAAAAGCGCGTTTTAAAACGTGCTTTTGCCCAGCCATGCCGCCCTGCCACCATATTTCTACAGTGGATGGGCGGCAAGTGGTTAAAAAAAGAAAAAAAAAAAGAAAGCCTAGTTTCCCCCCCCCCCCCCCCAAACTAGTACATATAACGCATACACTCTGCTCCTCACAAGACCTCCTACTCTCTAGCTCCCTGGTCTCCTCCCATGCCCGACTCCAGGACTTCTCCAGGTCTTCCAGCATCCTCTGGAACTCACTACCCCAATCCATCAGACTATCACCTACCCTCCTCACCTTTAGACGCACCCTGAAAACCCATGTCTTCAGGGAAGCCTACCCCGCCCTCACCTAACTACCGATCTCCTCCCCTCCTCCTACCACTCCATCCCCCACAGCCATTTCCTCCTGTTCCACTATCCTCTCCCTCCTAGATTGTAAGCTCCAAGGAGCAGGGCCCTCGAACCCCTCGTGTATTGTATTGTTACTGTATTGTCTCATGTACTGTCTCCCACTATATTGTACAGAGCTGAGCAAACTTTTTGGCGCTATATAAATACTGTATAATAATAATAATATAATACTTTGTTATCTGAAGTTATTATAAAGTAATTGGTGCTAGAATGCAGGGACGAGAACTGAAGTGGATAGGGACTTAGGCAGAATGGGTAGAATGTCCAAAAACATTTTGCATCATGGCCACACAAATTCATATTTTTGGCTGAATCCACAGCTCTTTCAGGTTTTTTTTTGCAGTGTCTGCTCTTATTAATGGGAACTTTGCAGAAAATAACAGGCTAACTTGGAAGTCACCAACGATTCCATATTTACTGTCTCTCACCAGCAGTCAGATAAAGTTCTAATGAGGAGGCGGCTTCTTCATAGGAGCTAATGTCAGCGATTACGATGGTATTTTCATGGCTCGGGCTGGGTGGCACTTTTCCACATGGAACTGTTTTCCCATGCCTTATGCCTGCTTATTATTGCTCCTGGCTGACTTATATGTCTTGTCAGCTACAGCACATTTGTAGCCGCTGTCCTCAATCCTCACTTTCAGGGAGATCAGATAACGCAGGCCAGATAAATGGGCTGGGCATTACCAATAAATCCAACTGCATTCTTGCAAATGATTTAGGTCTACAGTCAACACGGCATGGGTCATAAGGGATAAAAATACCATTTATTTTCCTGTTATTCCTGGGAAGTTCAACAAAAAATTTTTTTTTTAACACTCAGGAAATTAGGCATAACAATTAATTATTTTATTTATTTAGACAGAGATTAGGAAATAGACCTAAGCAAAGCTATCACTGGATATTTTTATGCCTGGTCTCAGAGCTTGTAGTAATAACTCTGACTCCATAAAAGTAGACGTAAAACCTAAATAAATTGTAAGCTCTCACGAGCCGAGCCCTCCTATCCCTTTTGCATTAAATTGTATTATAACTGTACTGTC